CATTATTTCAGGTCTGGTGTAGTTGAAGGTTTGGGCAGCTTGTGGGGGGTACCCTTTGTGGGTTGATTTCAAACAACAACTGGCAATGCCCAAATAAGAAACTTTAAAAGGAAAATGCAACAGCCAAATCAGATATCCTAAAAGTTTTGAAACAAAACAAATCAGAATCAGGTTTGGAAGCAGCTGAGAGTATATATAAAACATTATTAAGTTTTGGAGTCAACCCCAAAAACAAGATCCCAAAAAATTTAGCATTATTTAGGGGACATGTACAAGTAGTTCCCGGGCAAGCCGACGGCGGAAGTTTCATATAAGAAGAAATTGACCTATAGGAGTGTCCACGTTCTCTACAACATGCGCGTCCTCCAGTCAAACGCACGCGCTCCGGACTTTTGACCCACGGGATTCCACGTGTGTAAGGTGTGTGCCCCCTGCAGGATCAGCAGCTCACAACAGCGTACTGGGTTGTATCTTTGCCACGACAAGATCAGCAGCCCACAACGGCGTGTTGAACCAACTGGGCATGTACAAGTGTATGTACTACAAAGTGGCCAGTGCTCAGCTTCTCCACAGGTTGTTCCGCGCGCTAAAGTTGTACTAGAAAGTCGACAGTCAGTTCTCATCTTCCAGCTCCCCAGATGCTCCGCGTACTGCAGTTGTACTACACAGTCGCCAGTTCTCATCGTCCAGCTCGCCAGATACTCCGCGTACTAAAGTTGTACTACAAAGTCGCCAGTTCTCAGCTTCCAGCTCTACAGATTGCTCCGCGTACTAAAGTTGTACTAGAAAGTCGCCAGTTCTCACCATCCAGCTCCACAGATACTCCGCGTACTAAAGTTGTACTACAAAGTCGCCAGTTCTCAGCTTCCAGCTCTGCAGATTGCTCCGCATACTAAAGTTGTACTAGAAAGTCGCCAGTTCTCACCATCCAGCTCCACAGATACTCCGCGTAGTAAAGTTGTACTACAAAGTCGCCAGTTCTCCTCGTCCAGCTCGCCAGATACTCCGTGTACTAAAGTTGTACTACGAAGTCGCCAGTTCTCAGCTTCTAGCTGCACAGATTGCTCCGCGTACTGAAGTTGTACTACAAAGTCGCCAGTTCTCATCGTCCAGCTTGCCAGATACTCCGCGTACTAAAGTTGTACTACAATGTCGCCAGTTCTCAGCTTCCAGCTCACAAATTGCTCCGCGTACTAAAGTTGTACTACAAGAGCCGCCAGTTCTCAGCTTCCAGCTCCCCAGATGCTGTGCCTGCCACGAAATCACAAAGTGCTGTGCCTGCCACGAAATCTGCACATGGAGGTTCACA